CAGCTAGGGATGGACACTACCAGACTTGCTTCGGATGCTGGATCTGACCTATATTTTCATTCCCAAGTAATTATAAGCCCTGTCTGAACCAAACTTGCATGGATGATGCATCTAGGGATGGACACTAACAGACTTGCTTCGGATGCTGGATCTGACCTACATTTTTATTCCCTACTAACTATAAGCCCTGTCTGAACCAAACTGATCAAATTTTATTCACATATAAATTTTCATGTTGCTTTACTAAGATATCCTTGGCGGGGCATTCATGTCCTATGGACATATTGCTAGTTTTTTTTTAAAGTGGGTCATGCTCCAAGGTTAAATATGTTGTAAACTATAGAAAAATCTTGTCACAAGGAATACAAATGTGAAGTACTAATTAATCAAAAATATGGGGAAGGTTCAAGTTTTTGCTGACAGCAAAATGACAGACAGGACAGGGTTAAAACTAATTTACCCCAATTAAGGTGGCATCAAAATGTACATACAAAATTGTAGTTTGAATAAAAGAAAACCTCATATTCTAATTCAGACTCTACACTGAGTTGAATAATTTCAATCAATGGGATACCAAAAACCAGCTTAAAAAGTATGTGAAATTTTCTCCCTTTTATAAAAATTATGCAAAGTATTAATAGCATAAACTTGTATCTAAACAATTTTCAAATGACATTCAGGCCTAAAATAAAAAATGGTTTGTTTGCAGTTGCCGACTGACCCACTAAAAATGCACCCAACCCAAACTTTTCTTCAGCTGTTATTTGAGAAATTTTTTTGGAAGTTTCAAATTTTAAGGATGTTGAAACTTGTTGAATTTTTAATTTGTTAAATTTTAGATGTTTCTGTCGATATTAAGTGGCATAAAATAAGTAGACCTTTATTTACATAAAATAACCCTTTGAAAATCTATGGTTTGTAATCCAACAAAAACTTTATAACTAAAATTTGTAAAAAAAAAAAAAAAAGCATACCTACCTACCGACCCACTCTAAAAATTATGAGTCGGCAACTGCAAACAAAGAATTTTTAGGTCTTCTGGTCATAGACCAGAAGAGCTTATGCGATAGTAATGCGTCCGGCATCCGTCCATCTGTCTGTAAACAATTTTTCAAAATGCTACTCCTCCTACAGTTTTGATCTGATTTCAATATAACTTGGCACACAAGTAGACTACACTAAGATACATAATTCTGTGCATCGGTTTTTGATTTTGATAAACGGTGTTGCCCTGGTTACTAAAAATAGAAATTTCTGTGAAATTCTTTCAAAATGCTACTTTTCCTACAGTTTTGGTCTGATTTCAATATAATTTGGCACACAAGTAGACTACACTAAAATACATAATTCTGTATATCAGTTTTTGATTTCGATAAACGGTGTTGCCGTGGTTACTAAAAATAGAAATTTCTGTGAAAATCTTTCAAAATGCTACTCCTCCTACAGTTTTGGTCTGATTTCAATATAATTTGGCACACAAGTAGACTACACTAAGATAATAATTCTGTATATCGGTTTTTGATTTTGATAAACAGCGTTGCCCTGGTTACTAAAAATAGAAATTTCTTTGAAATTCTTTCAAAATGCTACCCTTCCAACAGTTTTGGTCTGATTTTAATATAACTTGGCACACAAGTAGACTACATTAAGATACATAATTTTCTGCATGGGTGTTTACTTTTGGATGAACGGTGTTGCCATGGTTACTAAAAATAGAAATTTCTGTGAAATTCTTTCAAAATGCTACTCCTCCTACAGTTTTAGTCCAATTTCAATATAATTTGGCACACAAGTAGACTACACTAAGATACATAATTCTCTGCATCAGTTTTTGCTTTCGATGAACAGTGTTGACATGGTTACTAAAAATAGAAATTTCTGTGAAATTCTTTCAAATTGCTACTCCTCCTACAGTTTTGGTCTGATTTCAGTATAACTTGGCACACAAGTAGACTATACAAGTAGACTACACAAAGATACATAATTCTGTGCATTTATTTTGATGAGTGGCAAGGATCATTTTTCTATTTATTGCTGTTTTAAAATCTCAAGTCCCAACTGCTACTTTTCTCTACCTTTGTTTTAAGTATAAACCAGTAGAGCTACAGTCTCGACAGAGACTTCTGGTTTAAGCTTGGCCTCATTTGAAGTTTTTTTTTACTCAAACGAACGATTAATCGAGATTCCCATGGCACTACACCCAGGTATTTTAGTCATAACAATTTGCTAATTTTAAGTTTTCGGGATAATGGTGTGTACTTTTTCCGAGAGTTTACAAAGTATTATGCAATTTTAAAATCTCTTCTTGAAAGAAAATATAATAAATAAAGGGATATGCGAGTACTTTTTTATACTATGAAGTGCATGTATTTTTTCGAAAAAATTACTCGATTTTACAAATTTGTTTTTTTAAACTCATCAGATGTAATTGAGTTTTTGAATGCTGAACAATCTCTTGTAAATCACTCTAACTATTCTTATAGTTCTGGTTGATGAGATTGTGACTTTCCGTCAGGGAAGTGCTGTGAGCTAAATGATCCTTTTTTTTTATATTCGATTTATTATGTCATATATATATATATATATATATATATATATATATATATATATATATATATATATATATATATATATATGAAAATGAAGCTTATGAGACAATAAAATGTGTTCAGGTTTATTGTTTCTTATTATACCTTTTATTCTTCAGCTTCTGAATAGAATCATGCATATAAAACTGTTTAGTTTCAATACAAGCAAAGAGGTTTGGAAAGAGATTTGATCCTTCATAAATTGTAATTAATGTGATTAATTGAATTTATTTTCCATTCAGTAAAAAGTGCTGAAAATTAATCAACAGTGTTTTCTTAAAAACATTGCAATATTAGAATATTTGGCATTTTGATTTCTTTTTGGTTAGCACACATACAAGGTTGACAACATGATTCTGGAAACATCTTTGACATATTCAACCTGATTGACTTGTAGAGTTATTTCTGACTTTAAAAAAAAAATAGAACGAGTTATAAGGCAGGCTATAGACGATAAGGCTAACTAACTACTTCATCGTATTATAGAAACAAGAAGCCATGTTTGTTTTTTCATCAGTTTACCAATATGCCGTTCACAGTTTAAAGGCAACCAATTGTACCATTGTTCAACATTGGTGCCAAAGACAAACCAAATTTGGCAAATCGATATCTGTACCAATTTAAGAATTATGAACGCACCCATTAGCTTTTCTATCGTCGACTTTCCTTAAGTAGGCCGTTCTTGCCTGCATGTGGTATTTACGTCTACCAACTTATTCGGTACTCAAAGGCATGCTTTTAGTATTTTAAACCGAAGTAGGCTACTGATGAATAAGTTGATGTTAAATTGATTTCAAAGACCTTGTATAAAGTCAACAGTTTGTAAACTGTATATAGATTTGTATTGTTTGTAATTGTTTTTTTTAATTGTAGAAGACGATTTCTCAAAAAGCAATGTTTCTATGTAATTGCGGTCTGGAAACAATCTCAATAACCATTTGGAAGAACTTCGAAATATGAGGATTTAATTAAAACCATGAAAACGATTTTAAAATTCTTCAGCAATAATGGTACTTAATTAAAAAAAACTTTGTTCGTAATATCCTTTTCCCACTTACACAAGCTATTTTTTCCGCAACAACTGCGACATTAATTCCCGTACTAACATCCAAAGAAAGCATTTTACATATATGTATAAGGTTTATTTCATACGCGAGTGCATGTTCTACTGTCGAACAATTTTTAAAATGAGGCAAGCTATAGACAAACAAGCTGCTGAAACAATCGTCTAAAGTCAACAGGTTGCAAGTTATATGGTCAATACATGACCTTATCAGCAAATACAATCGAAAAGTGGTGTAAATCAGATGTGGATACTTAAAAATTCCAAGGAACTTTCGGACAATTTGAAATCACAAGTTTTTACCAAAAATCAACAGCTTAAAAACTTACGATTTTTCACCTTTATACACAACTATTCCCCATGATAATTTAAAATATAGGCTTTTTGATTCATGTATTATTGACAGCTACTTTTTCTCTAAGGAAGGAACTATTAACTTACCTTGTCATTGGTCATTTTCAAAATTGTTTTATTGAAAAAAAAACATTTTGTTTGTACATACAAGTACTCTGAAGTTGATTTCAATAGATGCTTGCTTTTCTGATTGACAATATCTATGTGGTTTTTGGAGACCAGGTCTTCCAACAATCTATTCGATTACTATTAGCAGACCTATCTTTGTATTCATATGAAGCAGAATTTGTGAAAAATCTTACACGTGAAAAGATGAAAACACTTCCTGTGGACATTTCGATATATCGACGACCCAAATTTGGCAATTAAAATTTATTTTTCTCATTCTTATGTCGATACGAGAACGAAAAATGTGTTCAACAGAGTCCAATACATCTGTTTCATATTTGGATATTTAACTGGAAAAAGACGTAAATGGTTATCTAATAACTAAGCTCTATGATAAGACTAAAGATATGACTTTAACTTTTCAATCGTCAACTTCCCTTACTTATGCAGCAATATATCTTCATCACCTGCATACGGAATTTATATATGTCAGTTGATTCGATACACAATAGTATGCTCTACGTTTGATCAATTCATAAAAAAGAAGTAAGCTTTAGCCAAACAAGTTAATAAATCAATAATACCAACTGTCTCATAAAAATTATCATTTCCAAAGTTCTATGGTCGAGATGTAATGGTCTTGTCAGCAAGTACAAACTATTAGTATCACTATATAAAATGCTAACTGACGTTTTCCATACCTATTGTTAGGCCATTATTTACACACTGAATTGATGACGGGTTTTTCTTTGACTTTTCCACCAGTCAAACGTACGTACATACACATAAATATGTCTGTTTTAACTCCCCTTGTTAAGTATGAAACTAAGCTAAGCAGTTCTGTTATATTTTTTTTTTCAGTTAACAATACCATTTAGAAATTCTTCTCAAGATGTGACATGAGACACGACGGTAGAGTTCAGGGTATTTGTAGCCGATCCTCTACAGCATCTCAGTATTTCTTTAAAGTTCTTGTAGAACATTGTACTGTTATACACATAGAGAAAAGGGTTGATTGCGGATTTAGACCACAACAACCATACCAAAAATTCATAAACGTACTCATTGACGCACTCTTCACAAAAAGAAATTATGATGGTCGTAATAGTGTACGGAGCCCAGGTCAAAAAGAAAACAAGAACCAACATCGCAAGAAAACGGGCTGCCTTGATGTCTTTACGTGTTGTTTCCTTGGCTGCGGCGCTTGTATAGTCTGCATTTGGTTCAGACGAGGAATTCCCTGTATTGGTCATAGGAAATACCACTGTTCGCTTACGTATTTCGAGATAAATGAGAAAATTTAAGATGCTGATGATGATAAATGGAATGGCAAACTCGATGACGGCTGTCGTGGTGGTGAAGACAAAGTGGTAGGCGAACTGTACATCACAGTCCTCCGGGGCGCTCACGTCCTCACCCGTCCACAAGTCCCACCCAATGATAGCCGGCGAATACAGACAAACCGCCAACACCCACGAGACAGCTATCTTTATCGTGGCTACTTTTGTGGACTCTTTCAATACGTAGTGTGGACCGTGCTTTAGAAGAAGCAACCTGTCTAAGCTGATGACTACGATAGAAATAACAGATTCCAAGCAAAGTGTAAAATCAATCACCAGAAAGACCTTGCAAAAGTGGTATCCAAAGGGCCAGGAAAAGCTGGCAAGGGTGTGCACGGAATACACCGTCATGCTAAATAAACTTAAAGCGAAGTCCGTAACGGCCAAGTTCACCAAATACATATTGTAAACGGTCTGCAACTTTTTATCTCGCACGAACGCAATAATTGTCAATGCGTTCCCCAGCATCGCCAGAAAAATCAGGAAAGCTAAAAAGATTCCCAAGGGCACAGTCACGTATAAGGGAAACAACTCCATATCATCTGCATCGCCTTCTGTTGAATTATTCATTGTAAACTCTGAAAAGGAATATATTTCATGAACACATAATGTATATGCATGTTTTTAACATAAAATTATCTATACCATTTTATATCTTATCTCATTTGAGAAAAAATGTTTTCTAACCAGTATTAGAACACAGATTTTAATATCTCATGTACTTAGAATTTTGTTCAACAAAGCCTCTTTCATTACTCCTCACTAAGATTTTAACAGTAGTGAAGGAGAAACTTTGAGATTACTGTGCAACAATATGTTCGAGAGGTGGTGTAAATCAGATGTGGATACTTAAAAAATCAAAATAACTTATTGGCAATTTGAAATCACAAGATTTTACCAAAAGCGATAGCTTAAACACTTACGACTTTTTAACTTTATACACAGTCATTCCCCACGATAAATTAAAGTCCAGGCTTTTTGATATCATTGACACTAGTAAGTTTACTTACCTGGTCATTGGTCATTTGCAAAATTATTTTGTTAAAACACATTCTGATTGCATATACAAGTACTCTGAAGTTGACATAAAAAAGATGCTTGAGTTTCTGATTGACACTATCTATGTGGTTCTTGGAGACTAGGTCTTTCAACAATCTATTGGAATTCCCATGGGTACCAATTGCGCTCCGTTATTAGCTGACCTATTTTTGTATTCATATGAAGCAGAATTTGAGCAAAATTTTATGCGTAAAAAGAAGAAAACACTTGCTGTGGCCTTTAACTCGACATTTAGATATATCTACGACGTATTGTCAATTAACAATGGTAATTTCCATTCAAACGTCAATACGATATATACTGAAGAGCTGGAGATAAAAGATACCACAAAGTCTAACAAATCTGTTTCATATTTGGATATTTTACTTGAAAAAAGACGTCAATGGTAATCAAACAACCAAGCTCTATGATAAAAATGATGACTTTAACTTTTCTAATGTAAACTTATGCAGCAATATACTAGTACCTTCATCATCTGCATACGGAGTGTATACATCTCAGTTGATTCGATACGCAAGAGTATGCTCTACGTATGAACGATTTCTAAAACGAGGTAAATTATTGACAAGCAAGTTGACGAAACAAGAATATCAGCAGTCTCGTTAAAGTAATAATTTCGTAAGTTCTATGGTCGATAGAATGACCTTGTCAGCAAATACAATTTATCATTAAGTCAAATGACTGACGTTTTTCATACTTATTGTTACTGTAAACCAACTCTTATTCGCGTGCGAGAAATTTTCGCGAGGTTCGCGAGATCGTCTTCTTCGTGAATATTTCTTGCTGCGAACCGGTCCTTAAAGTGTATGACTATTAACAACAGATCCAGAAAGCCTTGATCGCGAAAATTAATCGTGGCGAACTAGTTTATCTCTGGTAAATCGCGAAATAAAGTCGCCGCGAATAAAAGTTGGTTTACAGTATTCCATTATTTATACATTGAATTGACGACGGATTTTCCCGTTATTTCCCGATCATGACAAGGAGCACTCCTCCATGGCACCTGATCCCACCTCTGATGTTTCGGAGGTCCGTCTTTGCTCTGCTCCTATTTTGCATTTTTTTTAATGGGCTTTGATGTTGAATACTGTTCGTTATCTCCATATCCTTTTTGAAAACATTTTGATTGTATACACGAGTACTCTGAAGTTGACATCAAAAAGATGTTTGGATTTCTGATTGACAATGTCTATGTTGAAGTTGGAGACGAGGTCTTCCAAAAATATCTTGGAATTCTCTTGGATATTAATAGCACCTCTTTATTAGCAGACCTATGTTTGTATTCACTTTGGAGCTTGATTACTGTTCGTTATCTCCATATATTTGAACAAGACTGCATCCTTTTGTGATTGAGAATATTACTTATACATGTAAGTTTTATAAACCGCGTCAATTCCTTTATTGGCATATTGAAGTTTAAGGAAAAGACGTTCAGATTTTTAAATACATTTCTTGATAAATTTTAAACTACAGATTTACGAGGGCTGTTCATTAAATAATGTCATGAGCTCTATGACACACAACATAGAAACCATATGACATTAAGCTTGACCTTCTCTCTTGATTTAATATTTAATGAATTAATTACAGTTTAATGACTACTTTTCATCACATAGTTTCATTGTGAGAAGCTAAAAAAAGGGCTATTCCAGACAATGCATTAAAAGCTAATGGTAAAGAATCGGTAAACTAATGTGAAATTAAACTCTTCACGAAAGCTGCTGTAAAACTCGTTCAGAATCCCAAAGAAATATTCACTGAAATATGTGGAATTTATAGCAACCAATGTCTGTTTTATAGACACATGCGCAGGTGGATTTCAATGAACAAAAATAATATAATGGGCATCAAAAATGGGTACCGTCCTTGGCGACAAGGACTTACAACAACCAATGTACTGATTGCAAAAATTCAACAGATTATCACTGATGATGTTTGATTGACTTTAAGACACCTAGCAAAATTGATAGGGGCATCATTTTGTGAAAAGTTTACACTGTTTCACAGAAACATTTGACAGTAAAAAAAATTTTTACACAGCGTGTAAGAATATATAATAAGATGCACTTGATAAAAACAGCCAAGGTTTGAGAAGAGCAAAAAATTGCAAAAGCACAAAAACAGGTTTTTATGCCATTTTCTTAAATATTAGTGATCTTGTTGTTAAAATTCTTATTCGGGGAGTCAGTTCAATTTCTGGAGAAGTCTGGAAAGCAATCTTTTGAGAAAAAAAAAAAAATAAATAAATAGATAAATCCGAAGTTTTATGAAAGGATGGAACCAGAATCAGGAATCTTTCTTCATTACAGCGTCCAAACGAACACGCCATGAAGAGTTAAAGAGTTTTGGGGATAAACGGAAAGTTAATGCTTTGTCACACCAACAATATTCGCCAGATCTTTCACCCTTTGATTTGTTTCATTTTCCAAACTTGAAAAAAAGAAAAACACCTTTCAGAAAGAAGAATCGTAGGATCTGCCATATTCCAGTATACTAAGGGCCATACTCAAAATGTGTTCTGAAAACAATCAGGAATGTGGGGAAAATGTTACAGACATGTGTTTTAATTAAAAGAGAATATTTTAAAAATGAAATCAGTAAGGCTTAATCATTGAAAAGCGTTTTTTGTTTCTCTCCGAGCACCGATGACATAATTTATTGTACAGCTCTCGTATATATGTTCCATTCACACATATAAAATTACCTTTTAGTTTTTTTTTTAAACAAATGTAATTAAATATAATGATGCTGTTCAGAAAATTTCATATCTTGGCGAATTAATGTTATTTTCTGACTGTAACTTGACATCCTGACTTGTTTTGGGGGTCTTGTATCTAATAATTTAATTTTTGTCAATGCATTTGTAAAAATGCTAATATTAACGCGTTCAATAATTTGACCATTTACGGTATATATGCCTTGGGTCTCTTATTCATTGTTAGTTCGCTATATTTGACGGAAGTAGAATCATTAATATCACTTTCAAGGTTAAATTAGCATAGAAAATATTCCAAACATTTTGTGATCTTCCTCAGATATACCGTCGTTATCTGAACGTTATTCTTTTTAACTGGGGATCAAAATTGACATTGTAAATCTATAGCCAGATAACTACTTTTGATGATACTGTCAGAAGATTACTGGGTGAAGGTAAATTTAGTTTACAATACTAAAGGATCTTCACAATAGATACAAGTAAAAAATCCGCACAGAAAAAGTATAGGAAGGTATAAAAAAAAAATAGGCAAAACTGAACATGTGAGCTTTAAAATTATTTGCATAGCAAACGATTGTTGGAAGTGTTCTTTCAGGGGAATACTAATTCAAGCTATGGTTTACAGATACTTTAGTCATGTTAATGGACCTGTTATAATATGATGTCCATATTAAATCTCGTATTATTTGATATTTTTCTGCAGTCGTGATTCTCTTATCTTTAAAAATCCAAGATACACATGTATACCTGGTAATACCACGATTCTCAATAAATCTAAATCCAGGAATCGAGAGGAAATACATTTACCTAAATGTACCTCTTGGAGAGTATGATACGAAGCTTTTTTCCTTCAATTTCTGTATGTAATTTTTTGGCAAAATATGGGTCGTTTTTTGGACGATATGGCAAAACCGAGGCCCTATGTTATTTCTGGTTTGGTGCTTAAAAGACCCTGATAACTTAAAGCAGACGAGGGCCAAAGTACATTGGTCTAATTTTGCAGACTCTCACCGGAAAGTGGTGTAGAGGTCTCTATAAAACTGAATTAATTCCTTAACATTCTATGAAAAACAAATTATTAAATTAATTAATCAATGCCATCGCTATGCAATATAGGCATCATTTTAAAATTACTTACCCGATAATGCCTCTCTTTTGTTCTGTTATTGTATATTGGAACAGAAACAAACATGCAGCATCACTTCTTTATATATCGATTTTCTGTGAAAAAACGAAGAGGTCTATTAAGCCGAAAATTGTATCAACCTTCAGGACTCTGCTTGCAAATCTGAGCTGCACCCAAAGTTTCAATGCTTGTCATCAAAACGCTTTGAAATATTTATTTCGATTCACAAAAAATAGAAGAATGTGACACATTGGAACATCCCATTATGCAACATTTATCTTCTCCGTGGTTCCTTGAAATTTTGTCTTTGGACTTAATTGTTACGGTAAATAACCCAAACAAACGGTGCAGTCTTCTATGATGCAGATAGAGGCACGTTTATACATTTGATTTTGAAATTCGTTTCATACAGGATCAACTTTCTTGGCAGCTCTAGGGGATAAAACAGATGGTTGGTGATAAGTGTTTTAGGTAATGCACATTAAGTCACTTTAATAACGGTCGACATTTCCACTTGCCTATCTTCTTACACTGTAATAAGCACTATTTGCAAAGAGAGCTTTTTTCACAGGAATGTTAATATCTGCAAATACTCCAAAAGAAATTAAATATTACCATAACAATTCACAATTTTAAAACATTAGTATTTTAAGATTTTCTTTTGTAAGGTATTAAATTTTTAAAAGTTAAATAGTATCCTTAAAAACAATTATTGATTCGTATATTAAGTATCATAAATTAACCTGTTTTCAAACGTCGATTTTTTTTTCTAAAATGGTATTA